CATTGGTATAGTTAGAGCTAAAGTCATCCATGTTGTCATTTAGTATAACTCCAGTCCTTTTTGACAATACTTTACTTCCGAAGCTTTAATCATATAAAACGTTGATATAATTACTGCATACAATTGTGGCAATTTGCAATACTTACACCATGTTAACAGTGGCCGAAATGGAGGCCGCGTTGCCATACATATCGACAATAGAAACGTGAGAAGTGCCATGGTCCGAGTTCATGTAGACGTCGGCCCCATAGTGTGCCCATTGGCATACGTTTGCGAATCATTTATACTCTGATGAATATAATCAATGAATTGTTGTGAAGACAATTGATGCATAACTTGTTTCACATCTTCAAAGTCTTCGTCTCCCAAAAGCATTCTTTGGGAAAATCCGTATTTATATGTTTCAATCAATCGGTGGTAAAATAGGGTCGATGTGTTGAGCGATTTGAATGCGTTTGGGTACAGATCGTCAAAGTCTTGCATTACTCTCATTATGAATGATAAGAGAATCCCAGATCCAGGCAATGGCATCGTATGTAATGTAATGTTATCTCTTTTAAATTGAGTCTTTATTACATTTTTGTTTTTATCGAGACTATAATTTTTGAAATCATCTAAACTTATAATTTCTGAGAAAATTGATTGAAATGCAAATAAAATGAATAATCAAATGCAACTCAATATACTTACCACTTATATTCCATTCTTTGGCCCATCTTTGATATCACTGATTAAGTCCTGAGCAATGATTTCATTGTAAAATAATTTCAAAGGATCTGAAGAATTGGCCAACATTTCCAATGTTTGAGACAATTTAGTTTGTATTAATGTCTCATTTTCTTTATAAACTTGGTCTGTTTTTTTATTTATAAATATTTCACTAAAAAATATTACACAAACAAATACATAATTAAAATATTTGTTGTGTGAATGTATACCCAAATGATGGTTGACTTCTAATTTGATGTTCAGTTAATTTGATGCAATTTGCCATATTTTTTCCCACTTTGAAGCCATCCTTCGCGTACTTAATGGCGCCGTCAAAGAGTCGTCGCCATTCAATGAGACCGGATCTCTGATGAAGTTCCCAATAACCGGCGACTATACCGGGTGTGGCGATTGCCAGCGGTCCCGCTTCAGACAGGTTTGCGTTATTGCGGAACATATTCTTGTGGGCAGTGATGGGCGCCCGCTCTCTGGCGTCGATCGCATACGACTCCTGAGACGTGCGGTTGTAAAACATGATAAGTCCGCCGCCGCCCAAAC